AGATGTTGAACAGTGTAGGCCCCAGGACCGAGCCCTGGGGGACCCCACTATTCACATCCCGCCAGGTCGAGTCCGACCCGTTCACCACCACTCTCTGGGTGTGCCCCATCAGCCAATTTCTGACCCATCCAACTGTGCAGGCATCAGTGCCACAGTCGCTCAATTTATTAATGAGAATGGGGTGAGAGACAGTATCAAAGGCCTTCTTAAAGTCCGGAAAGACTACTTCCGTGGCTACACCATCATCCAGGGATTTAGTTACCTGGTCATAAGAGGCCATCAGGTTGGTCTGGCAGGACCTGCCTTTGATGAACCCATGTTGGTGACCCCTGGGCATGATCTCCCAAGCATAAGACCCTAACAAGACACTTGTTAAGCTGGTGTCAAAGCTGCTTTATTAGGAGATGCGTAATAAGTATTAGCCCACATATTTACAAAGAAATCGCTCTTGAGTGTATATATCTATGAAATAGCTGTATATTAAAATAAAACATATAATATAGATTCAGTCTATTTCACACACACACACACACACACACACACACACACACACGAGAGAGAGTTCTTTTTAAACTGGAATGACTGAAAAAACATCATGGCTGTTTTCCTTAGACATATACTCAGAAAGGTTCAGTCCGTTTTCTTTCAAACTATTGAGTACGTGCAAATTCTCATTGACAGTGCCATATTTCCATTTACTAGCTGTGTGGTATTTAAATTTGTGCCGATTGAGAACTATGAAGGGAAGGGGGGGCAAGGTAATTTCCAAATTAGTCTGATCTGAAGACTAACTTAAAAGTAATGTTGAGAGGGTGAGGAGCCATGCATAATGTTCTCTGTTTTGTTACCATGCCCCCTCAATATTTGTCCCTCATCTAGATTACATTTACCTGTTGGAATCTGGGTTTTTTTAAATCCATCAAGGAGCTCAGCTCTGAAAGGCAGCTGCATTTGTTTAAGCCTGTTTGCAGGAATGAAGATCTTAGCTTGTTAATTATTTAGGGCCCAGATTGTGTTCAGAAAGTAGTTCTGCAATCTGGCACGATTGGGCCCTGATCCTGAGAGAAACGAGCTAGTACCAAAATACATCTAATAAAGTAAATTGACATGAGCTTTCTTAGACTGCAGCCTTTTGCTTCAGGGTTTCACTTAAACTCATGAAAGCAATGGAATTGATAATTAAGAGGTTGCTTTAGTCTCTTTAGCTGATCCTTAGTTGCTTAAGGGTTGCTAAGATCTTTTGTCAGCAGACAGTAAGATCTGTAAAATATAGGCATGGCAGAGCGAAGTAGCAACTGCCACTCGTAATTCTTCCTTCCAGCTCTGGAATACGCACCACGTTAGTTTAACGTATGTAATTTTAGGAAGTTTTCTGGACGCAAGCTAAATACTGTAGTTGAAAGAATGTACTTCTTATTGCTACTGATTGTCATCAATTAGTATCTTTGTTATTTAAAGCTTTGTAAAACACTTTCTGCTTGCAAGGCTCCACACATTCTAACAAACCTGAAAATTAAATTGAAGAAAAAGAAAGTAAATGTGCACCTACCTTGCCAAAAGTTTTATGGTCAAAATTAGAGTTGAAATTCAGATTATTCTACCCACGTTAGCAAGCGTTTCTTGGGATGAAACTAGCCGTCAGCATATAGCAAATGGACTGGAAGATAGCTTTTTTTTTTTTCTTTTTTTTTTTTAAAGAGCGAACCTGCTACTAAAATGAAACGTATTTTGGTGCTCTGCTTAAAAGATGAAACCACAAGAGATGACACACTTCCTTTCTGCAGCAACTGTACCATGACATGTTAGGCATTGGGGAGGCGGGAACCCAACTTGCCCAAATTAGCTCTCAGAACAACAGGAAACAGCATAGAAAAAGAAATCTCTGCCTTTAGGGCAGAAAAACCTATATTTGTTACCTTATGTCCAGACGGTGTGCCCTAAGTAAAATAGAAAATAGGGTTTCCAGTGCAATCACAATTGTTTAACTTTTGCATTTAGCTTTAAAAATCCCAAAAAAACTTGCATTGCATTCGTGTCATTTCTGCTTTTATGCTACTCCTGATTTGTTGGAAAATACCAGTGGTAGCATTGAGCTATTGTAGACACATAAACGTATCAGATTTTTCACCATCTGCTGTTGAGTTTGATTTCAGTTTTGGTTAAAGCAACATGCAGTATGCCTAGTGTTCAGAAATCTTGGGATTTTTATGTGGGAGGTGATTGTCATTTTGCAAAGGTGCAGAGCAGCAATTTTGCATAAAAGGAATGCATGTTTAGATTTTATTTTTAATTGGCTGGAAAAATGGTTTCAGAAGACCAAACAGGCACAGAAGCTTTATTAGTCAGGGAGCTACTATTGGACATCCCTAATTAATCACTGAAGTGCAGATTTCTACCTTACAGCAAAGAGGATATCCAAGTAACAAGCCCTTCAAAAGATGGCTTGTAAGAGAAAGGCAGTAGATCCTTAATTCAGACAGCACTGCTATAATAAATAACCTTTTTCATGTTTCAGCATAGGTGGGATTTGAAAGTGTAGAAGAATAAATGAAATGAGATCCAAACTACAGATGTCGTACAGTTTTGAGGTAGTTGATATGCCAGTTCCTCTCTGGCATATGTTGTTGTTTTTCCTTTCTTCATTTGAGAAATTGAACAGAGCTGCTTCATTGTGTCTTCCTGGAGTTGCTTGGCTATACAGTAACCTCTTTCACAATGAAAAGTGGATGAAAAAAGGGATGAAAAGTGTCATCCTTCTATTTTCTCGCAAAGTAAAACTGGTTCTAATGTTCAATGTAATATAGATGAGCTAAGGGTGAATGGCAATGGATGTTGTTTGCCTATTGCCTGCCCAGTCGCTGCAGATCCATTATCATTGGTTTGGAAGATACGGTGTCTGTAGGGCTAGCTACAAACTTATCCTGAAGTCCTGGTTAAAGAAATGATGGCAAATTTTGTGTAAAATGCATTTTCCTTTTTTTGTAGGTTCAAGACGGGTCAAATCAATGGCGACCTACTGATATACCACGTCCTGCTAACTTTGAAGCCATACTATGCTAAGCCATATGAGATTGTAGTGGACCTCACTCACGCGGGCCCCAGCAATCGGTTTAAAACAGACTTCCTTTCCAAGTGGTTTGTAGTTTTTCCAGGCTTTGCTTATGAAAATGTCTCAGCAGTTTTTATTTACAACTGTAACTCCTGGGTCAGAGAATACACAAAATACCATGAAAGGCTTCTGACAGGCCTGAAGGGCAGCAAAAGGCTTATTTTCATAGACTCACCTGGGAAATTGGCAGAGCACATTGAACATGACCAGCAGAAGCTTCCAGCAGCTACCTTGGCTTTGGAAGAGGACCTGAAGGTTTTCCATAATGCACTCAAATTGGCCCACAAGGACACCAAAGTTTCTATTAAAGTAAGTGTAACTTTGCAATTCACTAGGAAGGAAGTTGTCTATCATCATATCTGCATATTGTTTTAATGTCTTGCATTCATGAGATCATAGGGAGAAAACATGACCAATAGTTAGCACATCACGTTGCTTGGTATGACTTTTAGTCATTAAAATGTCAGCCACTCTTCCTCTTTAAAAAGCAATGTCATAATTGCCGATAAACAACAGGCATTGAATTATAGCCTGCTTTTTCTCTTTTTTTTTTTTTAAAGGTTGGGTCTACTGCTGTGCAGGTAACATCAGCAGAGCGAACAAGAGTCCTTGGCCAAACAGTGTTTCTGAATGACATTTACTATGCCTCTGAGATTGAGGAAATATGCCTGGTTGATGAGAACCAGTTCACCTTAACAATTGCCAACCAAGGCACACCACTTACCTTCATGCATCAGGAGTGCGAAGCCATCGTTCAGTCCATCATCCACATAAGGACTCGATGGGAGCTGTCGCAACCAGATTCCATTCCGCAGCATACGAAAATCCGTCCTAAGGATGTTCCTGGAACGCTTCTGAATATAGCACTGCTTAATCTGGGAAGCTCAGACCCAAGTTTGCGGTAGAGATCTCTTAAATTCATACGTATTTTGCTGAAAAAGAGGATTTGTTTCTGCTCCTTTACCAAGTGGTTTAAGCAAACGTAACTCCATGAGCATGCAATTTACCCTTTGGTAATAAGATTTTTTTCAAAAGCAAAACCAGTTTTTTGCATAGCTTCAGTTATTGTTTGCTAAGATATATTGGTTTTTATCCAAACTCCTTTTCTTTTGTTCCTCCTAAAACGCATTATATTTGCAACTCAGTAGTGGAATAAGCAGTATTACAGCTGGTTGGGAGTTTGTTACTTTTTGCCCAGTTTTCTCTCCATTGGAAGAGGTTGATTCTTCAAGATCAGGATGTTCCATGGAAGGACCCTTATTTTAATGAAGCTACCCTTTGTTGCTGAGTTTCCTATCAGGTTACCTGCTCAGTACCTTGGCAGCTTACCTGGTTGGTTAAATAGTGTCTCAGAATTACAGCTGTTCAGCAGCCCAGACAGGCAGGGGTGGAGCCGAGGCTGTCGCAGCTCTGGCTCCTTGTTAGCCTGGAAACCCCCGACTCCTTGATCTGTGTGGCTCTCAGGCCTCCCAAGATTCAGGGTGGCTTGAGTAGCTCTGAAATGGTTTGAAAAAGGTCAAATGGAATGGCATTTTGAATTTTTCTAAACGCTTTTTTGCAGTCGCTATTAAGTGCAAAATTCTGATGGTTTTGGTTCTTTCCTTGTATTGCTTTACTCTGCTTATATTTCGCTTGTATAAAGTGCACCTGTCTAAAATATAAGCACTTGTACTTTACCTATATAAAAAAGGGAGACTTTCCAAGGTACAAAAGAGGCTATAAGGAAGTTACTTAGTGTCACAGCTGGAAGAATTATTTGCATTCAAATATTTACATAGATTTTCATATTGGTCTGAAGAATCATTAACAGTTTCTTTCCCTTGGCAGTCATTTTAGAATGCTTCATCTGTCCTCCCCCCCCCCCCCCCCC